GAACTCAACATTTGTGAAACTGCAGATGATTACTGGGCAGCCTATGACAGGGATTCCCAGGTGAGTAAATGGCGGTACAATCATATATGCAGAGTACCAAAAGAACTAGTAGTAATCTAGCTTTCTGCATTTCTACAGAGCAACCTGGCTGCAAATGCGTCAACATTCCCATCAGGAGTAACGGCCTTGGCAGACTATGTGCATGGGAAAGGGCTCAAACTAGGGATCTACAGTGTTGCAGGGTAATCCTACTTGTAGTAACAAAAGAACAGACACAAAGTCACAGAAAAATGTTCATCAAGATGCTTAAACTAGAAAAATGTTCGTCTCTGTTCTATCCCTGAAATCCAAATAGTTATGGAAGCAAAGGAATGCAGTTATCAATCCAAAGCTAGACTAAATATTGTTAAATCCTTGGCGGCGCATTTAGAAAATCTTACCGGGGCGGGCGGCGCCGGTGGCGGGACGCGCCGGGGGCGGAGCGGGGCGCCGAGGGCGGGCGGCGCTGGGGGCGGGACGCGCCGGGGCGGGCGGCGCCGGGGGCGGGGCAGCGATGCCGCGCCGGTGGCGGGGCGCGGTGGGGCGGGGAGGCGGCGGCGGGTCGCGGCGTGCGGTGCGGCGTGTGTGTGAAGGGCGGGGCGTGGTGGGGCGGGGGTTGGCGGTGGGGCGTGTTGTGTGCGCGAGGGTGAGGACCGGGGGTGCTAACCGCTGGGGGTATATGAAGGAGTATGCCGAGTGCCAAGATCTGGGGCACTCGGCATTATTTTTTTTTAATGTTTTATTACGGGCCGATACTGTGCAGTAGGGCCGGTCGACGAAGTTACCGAGTGTCCCTTATATGACACTCGGCAACTGTTCTTTTCGCCAAGTGTCAGGTACAAAACACTCGGCAAAATAAATTTATATTTTGCCGTGTGCCAAGATCTGGGGCACTCGGCATTATTTTTTTTATGTTTCATTACGGCCTAATACTGTGCAGTGGGGCTGGTCGGCGAAGTTGTCAAGTGTCCCCTATATGACACTCGGCAACTGTTATTTTCGCCGAGTGTCTGGTACAAAACACTCGGCGAAATAAATCGATATTTCATGCTCCACCGTCCTCCTTCTTCATAGCGTGTTCTACTAAATTTGTTACGATGTAATTTAAAAATACCTTGTCAAATTCACTCAACAATGCATATTTGATTTTTCTACTAATATTAATCCATTATGTCATGTAGTTACAGCTCAAATTCAATATATATCAATTAAAATTCTATAATTGCAGTTAATAAATTAAAATTATCAAACTGATCTGAAAAATTACTAAAATTTGACGTGAACCAATCTATGTTGTCTATTGCCTATACAAAAAGTTTTGAAGTCAAACCCCAATTCGATCGTCACTTTGACTCCAAATCTTACCTCAACCTTCTAAACGCTACGATTCTTGTACGGAGATGCTTTTGTTTGTAAAGGTCATACGTGACAAATTGTGCGAAACTGTCTCAATTTTTTTCGTAGTCGCAACGTATGATATTAGGAGATCTTGACAAATCTCGTCATTTTCAGACTTCGTTTGCTTTTTTTAGAATTTAAAGACCATTCGGCCACATGTTCGTGGTCGTGTTTCCTAAATAAAATGTTAGAAAATTCTTTTCATTTCCTGAGTAAGGCCCTAAAATGGACTCAATAACATGAATATGATTTCTCCACTCAATGTATTCCATTATTTGTATCACTTGCGGTTCAAATTTGACTTAAACCAAAAAATTCCTTTAAATGCAATAAATTACTTAAATATAGCAAAGAGATGGAGAAATATACCAAATTTAACATGTAGTACCACATATGTTGTATGTGGAGAGTAGAAAAAATTTGGAGGACAGGAGGGAAAAAATTTATTATTTTGCCGAGTACCACTAAAAAACACTCGGCAACAACATTAATTTACCGAGTGTAAACGAAAAACACTCGACAAAAATATTAGTTTGCCGAGTGTCAAGAAAAAACACACGGCATACCTTGTCAACGGACACTCGGCAAAGCTCTAACGGCAGGCGGCGCACCCAACGACTGTTAGATGGCCGCCGCACGCCCAGCGCACGTGACTCCATTTTGCCAAGTGTCCATGTTTGTCGAGCATTTTTTTTTGTATTTTGCCGAGTGTTTTATATTAGACACTCGGCAAAGTTTGCTTTTACCGAGTGCTATATGTTTGCCGGGTGCCCGATGAAATGCATTCGGCAAACCCTCAGGCACTCGGCAATTCGACTGTTTCCAGCAGTGAATCTACTTGCCCTTTCATCCTTGCTTGACTATGTTTATAAAAAATAGTACCAACATTTGTATCTCAAAGAGATCTATTATGAAATTATATTTCATTATCTATCTAATAATACTTATTACGTATCATATCTATTAATACTTTTTATAAAATTTGGTCTAAGTTGAGATGGATTGACTATTATAGAAAAAGAATAATATTCTTTTTAGAGTGGACGGAGTATATTATATTGTCATATAAGTATTTCGTCATGCATCGTTGTTGTCGTTGAACGACCCCCTAATATGTCTAAGTCCGGCTCCGCCCCAGCTCTTGTATAGAGAGAGAGACTCAACAATAGAATAAACAATTCCTCCTATTTTCTTCTTCTTGTAGAAGATAAACGTACGTGCAGTAGCATGTAAAGCGGCAGCATGAAAAGGATGCGATTGTGTGTGAACCATGCGACCTGAGCTTTCGGTTCATAGGTTAATTTAGCGGTAGGCGTGTTTAGTTCAAGGAAAATACATTTTGGCGTGAAGAACCACACGAGGCAGCAGTGCATGACACGACTGGCCGAGAAAGCAGAATTTAATTTTTCTGGGGTAGTAGATTTATTTGGCAAAAAAAAATCAAAGGTCCAATCGGATATGGTTTAATTGGAATGATTTTAAAAGATTAACAACTGCTTTCTCGGTGTTATATTACGATTGACGGGGCGCACACACAGAGAGACCTGTAATTCCATTTTTTTATATGCTGCATTTTTTTAGTCATGGATTCACCAATACCACCTATGTCTAAATATAAAATAAAAGTTGTAGATCTAGAAATGATATGATCTATAAATTAGGGACAAAAAATTTTGGTTTTTGGCTTCAACTAAACGGGGCCTTAGGTGCGAACCAGCGGTAGCATGAAAATGATGCGATTTGTGTGTGAACCAGCAAGGACGTGACACGATACATGCCATTGGCGTGAAGAACCACACGAGGCAGCAGTGCATGACACGACTGGCCGAGAAAGCAAAAACAGAATTTAATTTTATAGCTGGGGTAGTAGATGATCTAAATCAAAGAACAGTTTCGTCAAAAAAAAAATCAAAGGACAAGACAAACTCGGATCATGATGTTTAATATTGGAATGATTTTGACATTAACAACTGCTTTCAGCGGTGTTATATTATAGACATATGACGGGGCGCACACACACAGAGAGACCTGTATGTCATAAAAAAAAGATCCATATATTAGATTAATATATGCTGCTTTTATTTTTTTATGGTCATGGATTCACCAATACCACCTATGTCTAAATATAAAATAAAAATTGTATATCTAGAAATGCTAATATGATCTATAAATTGGAACGGAGGGACTAAAAACTGTTGTGGGTTAAACTGTGTGTTACGTCTTGAAAAGAAGGGGACGCCTCTTTCCTGATCTCTTGAAAACAAGGGAATAATACCAAATGGGTTCTTTCTTGATTTCACCAGGAAAACTATTTTGCATTCCTACTTTAAAACATTTTTAGGAGACGCCCCGGAAAGGATGTTTCTTTAGACAGTTCGTAAGGAACTTTTGCCTCTATGTATGCTAGGGTAGGGGCCACATGGACACGAAATGTCTCTGAAAATCAATTTTTTAGTCTCAATCTCGTCTATAGAAATATGAGCACTTATAGAGACAAGCATGTTTAAAAGTAATAGAGGTTATGCATATAATTAATAAATTTATATACAAAGTCATAATGACAAAATCATGTGGAATTGTTGATCTCCATGAGATTGAAAACTTTCTACTCCCTAAGTTCTAAAAATAAAAGGTGAGTTAAAAGTCTGTTGAAGAGAAAACATATGGCCAAAGTTGGTACGGTGAGAATCACGGGTGGCAAGAAACGGAGGGAAGTAGGAGTATGAGGCCTGGTTTAGCTGAAAAAAAGTTCCAAAAAAGTGCTACAGTACCTATTACATCGAATCTTGCGATACGTGTATGGAGCCTTAAATGTAGACGAAAAAAAACTAATTGCACAGTTTGGTTGGAAATCGCGAGACGAACGTTTTGAGCCTAATTAGTCCATGATTGAACACTATTTGCCAAATAAAAACGAAAATGCTACAGTACCCAAATTCCAACTTTCCCTCCGACTAAGGCCTTATTTAGATTGCAAATTTTTGCAACCTGGACACTGTAGCACGTTTCGTTTGTATTTGACAAACTTTGTCCAATCATGAACTAACTAGGCTTAAAAGATCCGTCTCATGATTTACAACCAAATTGTATAATTAGTTATTTTTTTACCTACATCTAATGCTCTCTGCATACGTCCAAAAATTGATGTAACGGAGAGAGTGAAAAAATTTGGAATTTGGAGGTAATCTGAACAAGGCCTAAACAAAGCCTGAATATCTTGCTATTAACCCTTTTCTCCTGTAGAGAAGTACTCCTACTCTTGTGTGGATCCAAAGTTTGCAGTGAATTTATTGAGTCGCTAGACGACGACGAGCATTGGGATCAGAGCAGTAAAAATAAAAGCGTTTGGGCTCCATTGCTACGCTGATCGATTCCTTTGGCAGTTGGCACCTCTCCCTTTTCCCTCTAGTCCTATCTATATATAAACATGGCAATGGACATGCCCCTGCAGCTGCAAGAGCTAAACACGCACACACATCCTACACATCTCACAGCCAGCTTTGTGAAAGCAAGGCGGGCAACTCCTTGTAGCTAGCTAGGCAAGAGGAGAAACCAGCACAAGCATGGCCTCAAAGCCTGGACCTCTCAGTCGCTGGCCATGGCAAGATCTTGGAAACTACAAGGTACACACACGCACGCCAATATTGTTGACTGTTGTTGCATGCATTCTGCTCATTTGCATTTTGCACAGCCGCCAAACCGTGTCATCACATATGCATGCATGCATCATGTGTGCAAGGAAACTTGTTGCATGTTTGTAGCAGCGAACGACTGACGACACTGCTTATTTGTTGCCTGCCCTGCCTGACGACGACGAACTGAGAGCAGTACGCGCTGGTGGCTCCATGGGCGGTTCGCAGCACGTACAGGTTCGTGACGAGCGGGAGCGGGGAGCGTGACCTGCTCGCCTTCGCCGTGCTGCCGGTGCTCCTCCTCCGCCTCCTCTACAGCCAGCTCTGGATCACCGTGTCCCGCCACCAGACGGCCCGGAGCAGGCACCGAATCGTCGACAAGAGCCTCGACTTCGACCAGGTCGACAGGGAGAGGAACTGGTACGTACTAGGATCGGAGGCAGCAGTACTGCTGTCTGATGCGTGCGTTTATGACGAAATCCAACAGAAATCCGCGCGCCCTGCTTTAATTAATTTCATGTGTCAAATCAACTAATTGGCCATGCGTGTGCAACAACAAATTAAAATGCAGGGACGACCAGATCCTGCTGACGGCGCTGCTCTTCTACGTGGTGAACGCGGCGGTGCCGGCGGCGCAGTCTGTGCCGTGGTGGAACTCCAAGGGGCTGGTAATGGCTGCCCTCCTCCACGCCGGCCCCGTGGAGTTCTTGTACTACTGGCTCCACCGCGCCCTGCACCACCACTTCCTCTACGCCCGGTACCACTCGCACCACCACGCCTCCATCGTCACCGAGCCCATCACATGTATGTATGCATGTCGCCTTGTTTTATGTCCGTGTATTCATCTCAACCCACATGTTTTGAGGTGGAATTAAACTACTTGTTTGGAAGTAAGTTCTATTTCAATCTACTACAACGCATATGGATTTAGGTGAATACATATACATCGAACAATGGCCTTAATCTTCTAGTATCTTGGTGCACTGCATAGTCTGCATCATATCCATGCGTGCATGAACCATGGCTTCTGCATGCATGAACCCAGCGGTGATCCATCCGTTCGCGGAGGAGGTGGTGTACTTCACCCTGTTCGCCATCCCGCTGCTCACCATGGTGGGCACCGGCACCGCCTCCGTGGCCGTGACTAACGGCTACCTCATCTACATCGACTTCATGAACTACCTCGGCCACTGCAACTTCGAGCTCGTGCCTAAGCTCCTCTTCGACGTCTTCCCCCCGCTCCGGTACCTCGTGTACACGCCGTCGTTCCACTCGCTGCACCACACGCAGTTCCGCACCAACTACTCGCTCTTCATGCCGCTCTACGACCACCTCTACGGCACCGCCGACAAGTCCAGCGACGAGCTCTACGAGCGCGCGCTGCAATGCCGGGAGGAGGCGCCCGACGTCGTCCACCTCACGCACCTCACCACGCCGGCGTCCCTCGTCCGCCTCCGCCTCGGCTTCGCGTCCCTCGCCGCCGCGCCGGCGCCGCTCGCGTCCCGCTACTGCACCAGCCTCCTGGCGGCACCGGCGCGCCCGCTGGCCGCGCTCGTCGCCGCGCTCGTCGGCCGGACCACCGCCTTCAGGTCTGAGGCCAACAGGCTCCACAAGCTCAACCTCGAGACGTGGGTCGTTCCAACATACACCTCTCAGGTAGTAACACGTAGTGCGTGTGTGTGTTTTTATTAAAAAGAGATTTCATTTTTCTTGAAATATTCGAAAAGGCACTTGCTGAATTCTGAATGGTGCAACATTTTATTTGGATGCAGTATCAGTCCAAGCAAGGTCTGTACGCAGTGGGGCGTCTGGTGGAGAAGGCGGTGGCAGACGCGGAGGCAAGTGGCGCCAGAGTCCTCACGCTGGGTCTACTGAACCAGGTGCACCCAACTATCTTGACTGTAGTGCCCTGTCGATCGTCCTGCTGCAGCCCCTTCAATTTTTGCTTCTTGGTAGTCGACCAACTTCACTCCGCGCCGAGCATGTGCACCGGAGACTTTTGCATGCAAGATTCACCGTGCGTGCTGCCAGTAGTAGTAATGCCTGCACGTCGCAGCAGGCTGAGGCCGTGTGTGTATTAATCCCAGCGGCTGGCAGGCTGCATTGAACCCATGCCAACGACTCCTCTGAATTCGAATTGAAAGTTTTCGCTGTGCTGACGTAGCTTGAGTTAAGTTTTCACCGCGCTGTAAATAAAGACAACTAGCGTAAAAAGAAAGAAGATGAGTGAATAATGGCTCTGACAGCGCCAGCTTGCCCTGCTGTGGGCTTGTGCAGGCAAACGAGCTGAACAAGAACGGCGAGCTCTACGTCATCAGGAAACCTGACCTGAGGACCAAGATCGTCGATGGGACCAGCCTGGTCGCCGCCGCCGTGCTCCACATGATCCCTCGGGGCACCACCGACGTGCTCCTCCTGGGAGACGCCGGCGGCAAGATGGCGGCCGTTCTGGCTTCGGCGCTCTGCCAACGAGAGATCCAGGTACGTAGGTAGCTGCTGTTGCTGCCACGCGTTGTTAACATTGCTGCCATATCACAAACGATGTTGGATTTGTTTGTGAACGAGAATCCGTTGGTTGACGCATTCGTGCAGGTTCAGATGGTCGACAAGGACCTGTACGAGTCTCTGAAGCAGGAGCTGCGCCCAGAGACGCACGAGCATCTTGTTCTCCTTTCTGGCTGGAGTCACTGCAGCAGCAAGGTGTGGCTCGTCGGCGACAAGCTGACGGGCGAGGAGCAGAGGAGAGCCCAGGCCGGCGTTCACTTCGTGCCATACTCGCAGTTCCCTCCCGACGCCGTCCGCGGCGACTGCGTCTACCACAGCACCCCGGCGCTGCTGGTTCCGGACGCCTTCGAGAACCTCCATGCCTGCGAGGTACCACAAGGGTCTCTTCTGTATTAGTTGTCTGATGTGTTGATATATATATATATATATGCTGATCAGCTGATGTGTTGGCGGTCGCATGGGTATGCAGAACTGGCTGCCGCGGAGGGTGATGAGCGCGTGGCGCGCGGCGGGCATCGTGCACGCGCTCCAGGGCTGGGACGACCACGAGTGCGGCGCCAGGGTCACCGGCGTCGACAAAGCATGGCGCGCCGCGCTCGCACACGGCTTCCGCCCCTACGACCGCCATGACGCCAAGTGACAAAAGATTGGACAGACGGACTACGAATCGTGTGCATGGCTTGGCTTGGCTGCGACGATGATCTGTTCTGTGTCGCTTTCTTCTTTTGGAATGCGTAACATTCCTATTCCTATCCTAAGAAAAATATTCCTGGCAGACGATTGAAAGTTCCTTTCGTTCAAGAAAGATGAAAAAAAAACGATTTGAAATGAAAATTTCATCTTTGACGCCACGGCCCATACCAGGCTCTTTCACCGTCACTAGCAGACCGACTAGCTTAGGGTGAATTTCGGTTCACGGCCGGCCCGCAGTACCATGGGTGTGATTACGTACCCCAATTAACTAGTTGGGCCAGGCCCGGCAATGACTGGCCTGTTTGTCACTGAACCCTTACCTGCCGGCCCTGGCAAAATCAAACCGTTGGTTCCAAACGGAGCGCTCCCAGATTCGCTCGCTCAGAGCGCACGGGCGGGACGGACACCGCGCACGTGGCTTGCCCGACCGGGCCCCGAACTGCAAGTCTCGCTGGTAGCTTTGACCATCCTCCGTCCCTTCCGCCTCGCGAAGACGACGACGATCACGGCAATACGTTCGGGAGCGGCGCGTCTCCAACCAAAATTCGCGACGCTTCGGGGGCCGGGTCCCACACCCACGACCCACCTATCCCAGGCTTCGTGTCAGGGTCCCAGTCCCACGGCGTGAACAAACAGCGAAAGAGATCCCCAACTGTTTGTCTCCGACAAAACGAACGGCCCAGATCGCCGCCAGCGCGCCCCGCCTCGCCTTTCGCCCTTCCGCTCCATCCCCGTGAGCGAACGCGCACGCGCGCGAGCCATTCCGACCGAGGGACCGGAGCAGCCCGCCAACGGATCCACCGGCTCGTGATGCCGTCGCGGTGGCGCCGACGCGGCGACCTCGCCGTCGCGGCTGCGCTGCTGGCGACGGTGGCCCTGGCGGCCGTGGGAGCGGCCGGGGCCGACGGCGGCGCGGAGTTCGATTACCGGAAGCTCTCGGGGATAATCATCCCGGGGTACGCGTCCACGCAGCTGCGCGCGTGGTCGGTCCTCGATTGCCCCTACTCGCCCTTCGACTTCAACCCCCTCGACTCCGTCTGGCTCGACACTGCCAAGGTTCCACCAAGTCGCTGTGCGGCGTCACCTCGCCTGCCCTTCTCGTGATATCTGATTACTGCTTTGCTAGTGCTGGTAGTTACTGATGTCGTTCCAGGATTAGTAGCGCGCCATTTTGGCCCTCTTAATCGGTTTGGTTTATCTGTTTGTTCGCTTCGGATAGATATATGTTCACACTCATACGCTTTAGGGATCCGCTGTGAGCAGCCTACACATTTGTCTATCTCCATACTTCTTCCCTTTTTAGTGAAAATCATCTATTAATAGATTTGGGGACTGGAGCAGTTTTTGTTGGGATAAACTTGTACTGGACCGGAGCATCTTATCTCTGGATGTGAGTGCCATGAAACTGAAAGGGATACCCAACACAGACAACTAACTTTGGGACACCTTTGGTCCGTCGGTTACTCCAGTAGGTGCAAAGCCACCAACTACTTGAGCAGCTTTGGTCAGTTTTTGCTAGGAACAATCCACTGCTTGACTGTCTGTAATGCCAGTAGACCACCATGAATAGCCATATGTTTGCCATCACATGACACTACCTTGTTCGTGCTTCGTCCCAAACTAGGCCAGAGCATTGCAAGCTTATAAATGACTGCCATATCTAAAATGGAAAACATGTGCAGCGTATAGAGGCTAAATTTGATCCACTTCTATGGTTAAGTATCCAGATCTGCTGTTTTTGATATGTTCAATTTCTTGCAGCTTTTCTCCGCGGTAAATTGCTGGCTTAAATGCATGCTGCTTGAACCCTATAATCAGACAGACCATCCGGAATGCAAGTCAAGGCCTGATAGTGGTCTTTCTGCAATTACAGAGTTGGACCCTGGTTATATAACAGGTAAACTTATGGCTTACTCTCTTTTTCTTAGCACTGACCTCGCAAGTTCTAGCCATGAGTTACATATCTGTTACATGATAATTTGTAGCTTATATCATAAGTCAGGTTACTCAATGTTGAGTGAAAAGAAGTTCATTCTAGACAACATTTTTGCAAGTTTTGAGCTGAAGTGGCTGAAATGATAACAAAAAAATGTGGTTTTTACACGAGATCATCAGACTAATGCCATAGGTGGTACAACAAAGTATTATCAGGAAAGAATCATGTTTGTTCTTTGTTCATGTGCGAGCTGAAGAATGTGAAATAATTTGTGCAAGTACGGTTATCTGTAGCTCATTCACATGTTTCTTTCTTTCAAAATAATCTATGTTCATCAATTTGCAAATGACAACTCCCCATATTGGCTTTGACATTGGCATTGTGTTTTACACTTCAGGAATAGTCCTGTTAGACAGTGCATTCAGTACTCATGTTTGTTAGTGCATTTTAAAGCTACCCATCTCATTCATTCATGAAGAGAAAGGGAAGGGAAAAATACCTTACACTGATATCATTTTATTGGGCATGGTTTCAGGTCCTCTCTCTTCAGTATGGAAAGAATGGGTCAAATGGTGTGTAGAGTTTGGCATTGAAGCTAATGCAATTATCGCTGTTCCGTATGATTGGAGACTGCCCCCATCAATGCTTGAGGAGCGAGATCTGTATTTTCACAAATTAAAGTTTGTAACGCTTACCTCAACTTGTTATGAAGCAACCAAATTCCACACATCTGATAGGGTCTAGATCTTTTGGTGTTTCCAAAGTAGATACCTTGATTACAGTCATTTATATTGTTTTAGTTACCTTGCATTTCTTATATCAGCATTGGCATGGCCACTTCTGAACTGAATATGTGATATGATACTGTCGCTGCTGGCCTCGTCAATTTAAAAGTTGGGAATCCAATCTCTGGCATAATTGTTAGTGGTACAAGTAAAACATGGTGTGTTGCATTTCATGCGTTTGCAACCTGCAGGTGACCAATTGCTAAACAATATGCTTTCGCCTGTGAATTTTAATTTTGTCATATCCTGTGGTTAGTTTTATTCAAGCAAATATGATTTTCCAAAACACTGGCAAACAAATCATGCTGAAATGCTGAGCATAGATGTATGGTGTAAGGGCAATTCTTTGTTGCATGAGGAGAGAAGTAGTATGTGATGCTCATACATCCTTGTTGACGCAGGTTAACTTTTGAAATTGCTTTGAAACTCCGAGGAGGGCCATCTTTGGTATTTGCTCATTCGATGGGAAATAATGTGTTTCGCTACTTTTTGGAATGGTTGAAACTGGAAATTGCTCCCAAGCACTATATCCAGTGGCTTGATGAACATATACATGCATACTTTGCAGTTGGTATATCAACTAGAATGAATACTACTTTATTATTTCCATATTTTATTTTATCTACTTATCCTCAAATTTGTGAGTTTTCTGTGCTTTAGGCGCTCCTCTTCTTGGATCTACTGAAGCAGTTAGAGGTGCTCTTTCTGGAACAACTTTTGGTCTTCCAGTCAGTGAGGTCAGTCATCCTCTATAAATTTTAGTTTCATCTTATTGTAATAATTTATTAATCCGTCATCATTGAATATTTGAATGCCCTGTTCTGCTATCAGTTTTTTTTTTTCTGCAACATAGTTAGTATTGACTTTATAGTTTGCAGTTGACAATTCTGATGCCTAATGCCCCATAGGTTTATTCTTGACTTTTTGTATACACAACTGTGTAATTATGAAACTTTGAACTTTAAATAGTTCTTTTTATTTGTCCATGCACTAAATATCATGGTAATATTTTATTCTTGTTCTTCTGCACTGCATCTGCGGCTCGTAGTCTTGAAGTATGCTCCTAGATGTTCATGTGAATTATGGTAGTATTTATTGTGTTTCATCCTTCCATTTAATGTTTCACTGAATATAGTATGTCATTTTATGTTTTATTACTACCATTGAAAAGTCCAATTGCGTCCAAACTTTGAACTGTCACAACTGTCCAAATAGCTTGCCGTAAGTCTTGTTGCATTTATGCATCTTATTGGTCTCTAACATTTCATATCTATAATTATGTTTTCAGGGCACAGCACGATTGATGTTTAATGCATTTGGTTCTTCTCTATGGCTTTTGCCATTCTCAAAACACTGCAAAGCTGATAATATCTACTGGAAGCATTTTTTTGAGGGAAAGGGAGGTTGTCCTCACAGACAACAATGTGATGAAGCCGAATATATTTCAGACTACACGGATGGCCCACAGACCTTGTTAATATCGAGGTTCCTTCTGTTCGAGGTTCTTTGCAAAAATCGCTTTCTTTCTTGATGTGACGTTTAAGAATTTCTGTTCCACTAAGCAGGTTGAAATGTTTTTCCATTTCCTTTTTTTTCATCACAGATATGGGGGCATACCCATCCATCATGGATATAACCGAGAACATAACATCCATTATGGAGTATGGAAAGCCAACTCTCCTGTCATTTTCTGCCAGAGAAGTGTCAGATGGTACTTTGTTCAGAACAATAGAGGATTATGACCCTCAGAGCAAGGCACTTGTTTATCAGCTTGAGAAGTAAGTCTACATTTTTGTACTTGCTTGTTTCCTTTTACTACCCTTGATAATTTGCAAGAAAGTCTTTGCTTGAGGAGGAGAGCCAACTTGGTTGTACCTCAAAAGCAAGGCCAGCATGCTCAGCTTGTCCAGCGGGAATTTTAGCAAGAGAACCGAGCATGTATCCTCCCCCTGTCTTGCTAGCCAAGGTTAGGCAACACCAAGAGTTGACAGGGAGGAGCAGCGATACCGCACGTGGCTGAACAGGCCACAGAATGCTATATTTATATAATTCCTAAGGGATTAGTCAGTGATTACAAATGATCACAACAGATCACAGGGAATTTGGCCACCTAGGAAGTAATCCTGAGTAACCATATTCGATGATTGGTGGACAAGGATAGGCAATAAAGTGGATGGAGAGTTTAGAAAAGGGCTGAATTCCCTTGTCATCTTGGGGGCTTTGTCCATTTGGAAACATAGGAACTGCTTAGTTTTTTATGGAATGCTTCCCAACCTTGCTGAAGGACTCCTGCTCACTAGGGAGGAAATTCACCTTTGGGGTATGGCCAGTGCCCGTGGTATTTCTTACCTCGTGGCTACTACATTAAGAGTTTCTTAGGTCTTTGGGTCGAGGTCTGTGCTTGTTGAAATTAAAGGTGAGTATGTAGTCCAAAGGCTTGTGTGTGGGTGTGTTATATGGGCTCTTACCCTTTTTCTTCCGCAGCTCTCTTGCGTGTTCAATAAAAAATCCTAAGTAACCATATATAGCTAGGCGGTTAAGGAAAACAATCCTAAACACCATATATACAAAATTGCTACAGGCAAGGGATCAAAAGCGCATGCGTCCAATTTGCTCCTACAAGTGTTCTTTCAAACAAAATACAAAGTTTAAGGCTTTAGTATGCTTATGATATGATATTTGACATGTATTAACTAGACCTTGTATTTTAATCATTAGGTGGTAAGTAAGAGTGACTGAGTCTAAGACCTTGTATTTTGATCTGAGTTGATCTCAGGTATTATCAGGGTGATCCAGTTCTGAACCCTCTAACACCCTGGGAGAGACCCCCAATAAAGAATGTATTTTGCATTTACGGGATTGATTCAAAGACTGAGGTATGGTTGGTGATGTTTATTTCATAGTGAACTGTCCCACTTTATGTTGTTTCAAATTAGATTCTTTCTTCATCATGCAGGTAGGCTATTACTTTGCCCCAAGTGGCAAACCATATCCAGACAACTGGATAATAACTGATATTATTTATGAGTTTAAAGGTTCCCTACTTTCAAGGCAGGTATCGTATAACTTGATTTGAGAAGTCTTTAGTCCTCATTTTAGTCATGTACCCATTCTGTTTCTGTTAATGGTTGACACAATGTGACAAATTTACTGAGGAGAGTAATTATGGCCGCGTTCGGCTGGCTGGCCGGCTGGGGCTGGGCTGGCCAGCGCACTAAGTGCATGAAACCTTTTTTCAGCGGAACAGTATTTTGGTCAGTGCCGAACAGCCCCTAAATGGTTCCTCTGTTTCGTGTAGTGTCCTAAATGGTTCCTCAGTTCTATACATTTATCTTTACTAGTTCCCTCAGTTCTTCTATACATTTACCTTTACTACTTCTGAAGAGCAAATTGAACATTTTGTCAGACTATTGCTACTTTGAAAAATGGGTTTTTGTTCGCTCACTAGTTTGGTACCATGAAATTTCCACATTTTAATTTTATCCAAAGGCAGGGGTGAAAGAGGCAATGGCTGACTCATTATAAAGTGAGAATGTTGTTATTGTTTTCTGTTCCTTTGTTTTCGAAACAGAAGGATGTTGTAGTTTTCATACCGTTTTTCAAGAGCTTTTATTTTCTAGATAGATAGCATCCACAGTTCTTATTTTTGTACTATACAACGTTCAAGGCATTGATTTTGATCTGCATAAATATTTAGTTATTTACCTCAGGGCCCCTTTGTAACATTATTTGTTCTTACCAGATCAGGTAATTCTGTTTCGGGAAAGCCTAACAATTCCAGTGGTGATGGAACAGTATGTATTACCAAATAAAATTCTAGTTTGTATCAAGCTAAACCAGTTTATTTAAGCAAATGAATAGCTATTTCATGGCAGGTATCCTACAACTCCCTCTCATGGTGCAAGAACTGGCTTGGAGCAAAAGTGAACATAACGAGGGCTCCACAGGTATTCTGTTTTATGCTCATTGGTGTGACTCACCATGGTGAACTTGTGGCCTGGCTATATTAGTATATTTGTTTTGGTTAATTGAAATATTATTGACTGTTTCTTGCAGTATATCGCAACACTAAGCCGCCCTCCCTAATTATCCTCTTCTACTCTTGAAGGCAGAACATGATGGATCTGATCTGCAAACAGCCATGAATATCGATCGCCATCATGGCCATGATATACTACCAAACATGACAAGGGCTCCGCATGTGAAGTACATAACCTACTATGAGGATGCTGAAAGTCTTCCGGGATGGAGAACAGCAGTTTGGGAGCTTGATAAAGGTGTGAATCTAGATTTTTCTTTTATATTGTAGCACTTTTACTTATACATGTCGTTCTGCATTGCAAGGCTGCAAGGGAGCCCCTCAGTTTATGCTTTTGCCTTTTAGCGCATAATGCATATCTTTGTTTTACATGCACTCAGGCATATCTTGTTCTTGTGTGTGGTGCTACCTTTATTCGGCGCATAACTTTCTTTTGACATCTATTGAACAGCACTAATATATAAGTTATTTTAACAGCAAATCACAGGAATATTGTTAGGACGCCAGTACTAATGCGTGAGTTATGGCTTGAAATGTGGCACGACATGCATCCCGATTCAAAATCAAAATTCGTGACGAAAGGTGTGCTTCAATTTGAACAGCCCAAAGAGCAATGTCGTTCCCTGGTTTGACTCATGGATTTTCAAGTTACTAACAGAAGTGTGTAAACAGCTTTTCGAGGTCCGCTAAGAAATGAAGACTGCCACTGGGACTATGGAAAGGCTCGATGTGGCTTTCCAGAACACTGTGAATACAGGTCTGCACCCAGTTTCAGTCTTTCCTTTTTCAGTTTCAGCAACAAAGGCCCCTATTTAGTGATTGTAAATCCAGGTATATATTTGGCGATGTCCATCTGGGAATGAGCTGCAGACTGAAAAATACATCCTCCAACCTTCTTCAACAGTATCTCTGAAGTATGTTGCATTACTGTTATTCCATTTTCCCTCATTGACGAAAACTGCACCTGACATTCTATTGACATCCTGCAGATGCTGTGAGCTGAATAATATTGTGGTTGCTCATATGGGAATGATATTTGATTTCCCATTTTGACTTGCTGATGAAATTAGTCAGCAAGGTAGATACAGGATCAATTGGAGGCCAGTGAAAACAGGTCAACTCTTACTCTTGCTACCATTTTGGTACACTTAAATCTTTGAAGTAGACATGCAAAGCCGAAACAACACGTTCCCATGAGTAATTTTGGTTGAAGATGGAGGTCAAAGTTCCCAGGAGTGTATAGTTTTGCTCATGTTTTCAGCCATGTAGGAGCCATTTGTAGCACTGGTACCTTCGGCGTCCTGAAGGTGCCATGAGATCACACTGATGTATACTGTAGGCATGGGTTTGTAAATCAAGCTGTCACAAATTGACTTATCTTACTTGAAACTAGAAAGCTACTCTATAGATTGGCAGTGTTAAAATTCTTTAGGACTCCCAATTAACCACCTTGATCGTAACGTGTCCTTAAGAAAAATGAATGCCCTCTGCTCAATATTAGTTGCAAGGCGCAATGAATTAGCGCATTGCCTTTGCTTGTGGATGGGTGGTGGCATGAATACTGTACGCAACGAAGTTTTGTAGATGTATGAGTCTCTCAAATGTTACCTCCGCTGGGCTCAGGGCCCTTTGCAACGTGGGATTTTCCATGAATCGCCTAGTTTTCATATGAAATTGTGCTGGTTCTTATAAAATCCATGTATCATTCTTGCCTTCCAAAGGAGTCCTTAAATTGTACCGGAGTAAGTTTGTTCCACGTTGCTGTGGGTTTTGTAAAAAAATGGCACCTTTGGTCTGCTGATTTGCAAGTGCAACGCAAAGCCATGGACTCATGATTATGTGAACGCATGGCATGAACTACGTTGTAATTGCAAATTGCAAATTTGATTGGATGAAATCTACAGACGCAACGTGAGATCCATCAGTGATCAGTCCAAAACAAATAGAAATATCATTTCCCGAGGAATCAAAGGATTCAGATATGTTTAATTATGAAAATTAATCTAGTGATTACTTCTTACGCATCATATTAGTATTTTTATTCAATTTAAAATTGTTTAACTCTTATAAGAAAACAGGATTTCCATTCTTCTTATGACCCAACGGGTGGACCACAATTCTAGTTTAGGGGGTGTTTGATCCTTGTATAAAGTTTAGCCCTCGTGATATCGAATGTTTGGACGCTAATCAAAGAGGACTAGAAGCCCGAGGCTAATTTATTGAATCTATTAATTCATCATTTAATCCATCATATATTGTCAAATCATTTATGATTAGACTTAATATATTTTATCAAATTATTAATTTAATTAGATCTTAAGAACGGCCCCTCTGAATCATGTATAAATTCTTATAATATATATGCACTAATTTTACTTGCAAAACGAAAGCAAATTCAATAATATATTTTTAATTTAACATGTCTGATAATTATCGAGGAATAATATAGATTAAGCAATATATTTGTAGATGTATGATAATTATCGAGGAATAATGTAGATTAAAAAAGCAAGATATTTGTTTTCTTTTCTCACCTATTACAAATGTTTCGTAGGTAATATTCTAAAATTCTAACACCTAAATTAGAAGAAAAATATGACTATATGGGTACAAAAATGAGAAGCGAATACTATACAAATTAATTTGGATTCAAAAGAAAAAAAAATACCTGGGCCTAAAACGATCGGTGATCGCAATTAAGTAATAAGCCAAGAATTAGAATTAGATGTCGTCGTGAGGAGTCTTAGTCCTGACTGTGTCGTGTGTCTCCGGTGTCAACTTGGGCGGCGTCACGCCGACTTAGTGTTAAGGCACACGTCGAACTCACGATCGAGAGTGTGATCACCTCCTCTCTTTTACTCAACTTTGACTAATGAACTATAACGGAGTTTTATTACAGGTTTGGGCACGATAAATTTTAGCCTCATTTATACAATTATAGAATCTATGTTTAATACTTCTAATTTATATTAAACATGCCGTTCGAGGAGCGTCTCGAAATCTTGAAAATGGGAGCGTGGATTCACGATTTAGAGCCAACGATTTGGTGCCATAATTTGGTTACTAGTTGGCTACCAAAACTTGTCAAGAGGGCTTTAGTTTGCCAAATCTTTGATACTTTTTTTAATTAACTTTTGGCACCCAAATTTTTGGCATGACAAATGCTGAGAACAGTTTCACAAGGGAGGAGGCCGCACGAGCACAAGCTAGAGCCTGTTTGGTATTTGTACTGCGAAGGTGAAGCCCCAAATCGTGGCTTCTCGCGGCTTCGTCTGACGATTACGGCAGCAAAGACGCGGCTACCCTCCTCCATGCTCCTTGCTCGGCTACGAGGCGATGCCGGCGTGATGCGTCACCGTGGAGCGAAGCGGCAAGCAGCGGCGCGGACGCTTGCACCGCTGTGCCGGCGAGCGGCGACGTGGGCAAGCATCTCATGGGAGAGCCCGCGGCGGCGTGGGAGCGGAAGCGCTGCGTGGGGTGCGAGCACAGATCGGGCGGCGGCGCAAGCGCCGGGTGCGAGCGCAAATCAAGCGGTGGCGGCGGCTGTATACGAGAGGATGAGGATGCATACAACATTTTTTTTTTAGATTAGAGAAGAAGTAGGTAGAGAGTGGTGCAGGCCGTTTTGGGCCTTGGCCCATACGGTGTTTGATTTAGCCCTGTTTTTTTCGTTAAAACAATAGTTTAAATACAGTTTACTTTATTAATCATGACCAATGTTATACTAAATAATAATTGCATGATTGTCAATTAGATGTATTTTAATTTTAATTTTTCATGTATAAGGACAGTATGGACATTTGATATCTTTCATCTCTTTTCTACGACCAGAAGGAGCTATTTTGCTGAACCTTTTACAAAAGTGTTTTGGCTTCTTCGGTTTCCTCCGAGCAGTCAGAGCCGAGCTGTTTTCGAGGAGTCAAAGCTCTGCCAAACAGGTCCCTAACAGGGCGCACGCGTCGGAGTCGGATTGGAGGCCTCTCCATTCTAGAAGATCCCCGCTCTCTCGTCGCACGCTTGGAATCCAACGCGAAAGCTACCCGCCAACCTTCCCCCGCTGCCCCTGCCCGTCCCATCCGGCCATCCGACCCCTATCAGACGGCCGCCAGAACCCCGCAGGTCGCAGGCCTCCCAAAGGTTTTGGCCTCGCGAGCTTCCTGGAAAGTGGAAACCCAAGCGGCGAAAGCGAAACGAATCCCTTCCCTTCCCCTACCCGGACGCGTTCTAATTTGGACCAGGCGGCTCCAGAAGCTTCCGCCATTAAACTAAGCTAACCGCGTCGCTTTATTTATCGAGCCAACCCCAACCCCCGCTCGTCTCCGCCCAGATCCGCGCGTTTTGGAGGAGCACCTGCGTGTATAGACCACTCACTCTCCAAGGCAATTTTTTCTCCTTCCTCGTCCGCCCTGCGAATTCGCGACCTCCATCCAATCCATCTGCACGGAGAATCGGCTAATGGCGGAGGTAAGGCCCCCACGCTTTCAATTGCTCGACGACCCATGGATTTATTGAGGAATGATAGAGAGATCTGACGCTGCGTTCGTTAATGGCGGTGGTGCCGCACGGCAGGAGGGGTACAAGGTGACGCTGAACGTGTACGACCTCAGCAACGGCCTCGCGCGGCAGCTGTCCACCTCCTTCCTCGGCAAGCCCATCGAGGCCATCTGGTGAGCCTGAGCCCCTCCCCTCCTCCCCTCCCTTCCCCTCCCCCGGATCTGAACCACCTCGCGCCTAACCGAACCAAACCAAATCGGACCTGGCAGGCACACGGGCGTGGTGGTGTACGGGAACGAGTACTACTTCGGCGGCGGGATCCAGTCGTCGCCGGCGGGGACGACGCCGTACGGACGGCCGCTGCGGACGGTGGAGCTGGGCGTCACGCACATCCCGCGCGAGGTGTTCGAGGACTACCTCCGCGACATCGCGCCCCGGTACACGGCCGAGACCTACCGCCTGCTCACCCACAACTGCAACAACTTCAGCCACGAGGTGGCGCAGTTCCTCGTCGGCACCGGCGCCGGCGTGCCCGACTACATCCTCAACCTCCCCGCCGAGGTCATGTCCAGCCCCATGGGCCCGCTCATCATGCCCATGATCCAGAACCTCGAGTACACGCTCCGGAGCAACAACGCGCCGCAGGCCACGCAGTTCGTGCCCACGCCCGCCTCCGTCTCAGTCTCCGCGCGGACCGAGGCTCCCGCCTCCAAGCCCACCGTGGCTGCCGCCGCCAAGCGAGAAGCGCCGGCGGAGAAGGCTTCGAAAGAAGCTCCCGCTCCTGCGTCCGCGTCCGCGCCCGCGCCCGCGCCTGTGCCTTCTCCTGCTGCTGACCCGCTCGGGAGCGCCAGGGGGAAGGTGCAGGAGGAGGTGATGAGGGAGTTCGCGGCCATTATGGCCAGCGGCACGCTGCGTGCCAGCGAGGCGGCGGCGCTGGCCATGCGCCGGGTCATGGAGCGCCACGGCGACGGCGCCACCATGCAGCAAGGCTAGACGGCGCGTCGTGGACAGACTGTGCCGCGCCTGCGGAACATTGTGAGCGCGTTGGTTGCATCTCCATGGGAATTTGTCGTCTGCATGCTTCTGCTATCGCCGTATGGAAATTGGACGAGTTACTGTTATGTTCGTGCGATTGTTTGGGTTGTTAATTGCGACCGAACTTATTATTGCCCATCGTATTGTATGGGTGATTAATTTTGGATATATGCTAATTTACGTTCGCTGAGACCCTGCTTCCAATCGCTTGAGAACTCATGATAACCCTGTAATTTCTGGTGCTTGTTCCTGATGCTGTTAAATTTAGTCCAGTGTTACTCCTGCAAGCTCGCAATTTAGGCCAGTGTCACGATGACGGTTACTCCTGCTAGCTCGCACGCCCATGTGTATGTGAGCGCTACTCCAAACTGAGAGAAGGTACGGTAGTGGTGTGTTTGGTCGAAGAGCATGGTAGAATGGGATGGTTTCAGGCCTGTATCAGATTAACTGTGGGGCCCACATGTCATACAGTCATGTGCTTCTTCCTCCTGCTCGTGTCCATGCCAATGTTGCCGCTGTGCTCGCTGACCCTAGTCCACACGCCCTGCCGTCGGAATCGCTCGCTCGGACTGCGTGCTCGCCGACCCTAGGCCACACGCCGCTGCAGCCGGATCAGCTCATCGTCCTCGGTGCCCGCTTGCCCCAAGTTGTGTGCCCCGGAGGAAGATGGCACGAGCGTCGTCCGTTTGGGACGAGCGCGTTCGGTCGTTTTTCTGGAGTGGGCTTGTCCTGAAATCTCAAGAAATACCCTCTTAGAGAACCGCTCCACCCTTCTACTCTTGAAACAAAAAGCACCCTTGAATCAAACAGCATTAAGGATAGAGCAGCTCCATACCATCCTCGTTCATCGCACCAACCAAATGCACAACCTAGATAGGGTTATATTCTTATCAATGCAAGCAGTTGTTTAGCATAGATGTCATGGAGGAGTCATGTTTTATAAGCGATGACATGTATACCTACGGCAAATTTTAAAAAATCCTCTCCAAGTGAGACCTGCCATCGTTAAAACCGATATCTCATCAATGCCATAGAGAGTTCAATCCTCTTTGACTCCATTGCGGTTGCATATAAGGGATAAGAATTCAACCCAAAATAAAAGATGCGCTTTAAGGATTAGGCCCCTTTGGAATGTGGGCTTTCTCCATGTGTTAATTGTTTAGTGTATTTTTTTCATCAAAATAAACTGATTGTCGAGTATCAATATTAGGGATACCCAAAGCAAGGAAGTTAGCGCCCACGCTGACTTCCCCGGATAAAGCAAGACGTATTAATATGTCTCGCCCGACCCCTTGGGTACGGGTTCCGTCTTGCCCGATCCCAAGGACGCAGCCTCGCCCGACCCCGAGGCTGTGGGGGTCTCGCCCAAGGCCACGGGCTCCGTCTCGCCCGACCCCGAGGCCGCGGGCTTCGTCTCGCCTGACCCTTGAGTGCGTGTTCCGTCTCGTCCGACCCCCAAGGGTCGCGGGCTCCGTCTCGCTCAACCTCGAGGTCGTGGGGGTCTCGCCCAATCCGAAGGACGCAGTTTCCGTCTCGCCCGACCTCGAGGCCGCGGGGGTCTCGCCTAAGGCCGCGGACTTTGTCTCGACCGACCCTTGGGTGCGTGCTCCGTCTCGCCCGACCCCGATGGGTCGTGGGCTCCGTCTCGCCCAACGGGGACCCATATCGCCGCCAACCACTCCAGGTCCAGGCGTATGGGCCTGGGTCAAAACTCTGACACCAGGGAAGAGACGGGCACGACTCGATGTAACCCAAGGTCATGACGGGCCATATCTGAGGATTCACATCAAGAACAGCGTCGGGCGTACCGGTGCTGTTCTGCCTAACCGTCGTACGAACGCTGACATGCACGTCAGTTCACCACGACGTCCACCGGGACGGTATGGAACGCCATGACCGGCAGATGACGCCTACGCATGGCGCCAGTGACGGACAGGGCCACGACGTGGAGCCGTCTTTATTGACATCAACAGGATTGGCGGGACCGCATGAAGGAGAAGAAGGACCCGACGATCCTGGAAGCCTCTCTCTCTCGTTCTTCTCCTTTTCCTCCGCCGTAACCCGCGCTTTTCCTTGGCCTATAAAAGAGAAAGCAGGGCGCCCATAAAGGGGATCAAGATCCGCACAAGACCGGACCACGAGATAAAAACACAAGAGCACGACACGAGCACACGGCTAAACAGTGACCGAGCTCTCAGCACCCGTTCATTCCTTTCACCGGAGACTTGGGGTACTTTCCCTCTCTCGCCTGTTTGTAACCCCTACTGCAAACCAAGTGACCGGTAACACGAGCAGCAGCGAACTAGACGTAGGGACGTTCCGCCCGAACCAGTATAAACATTTGTGTCCTCTAAGCACACCATCCGGGCCAGACACGCAAATACAAATTTACTCGTCGGTTGTCTGAAAACACCGATAGTTGGCGAGCCAGGTGGGGGCCTTTTGCGTGTCTCGACGTCCACATCAGGCCTCGGATGGCTAGTCACGGCGTCAGCTGGGTCCCGGGCACGCTTGTACGCTTCGGGAACCTGGACTTCATCATTACGACGGAGGGAGACTTGGCGTTGGTTCCCGCCGTCGTCCAATCTCTCCACTCCGCTGGCCTCGACGCGATCGCCGAGGCACTTGAGGAGCTGCAACTGCACGCGCCGGAGGCCCACACCCCCGGGAGCGACTAGCTCCTCGGCTTCGATTACGGGAGGCTAGAGCGCCAGCTCAGCGTCTTCCTAGGACCCCGATCGTCCCGAGAGGACCTGCGCCGCCTCACCTTCTTGTTCGCCAACATCATGACACAGCTTGCCGGAGGAGAGCTACTCTCCCCGGAATACCTCACCCGGAGCGCCCCGACAACGCTCTCATCCGGTCTGCGCAACGCCGCAGAGGCCGTTGGACACCTTGTGGCGCAGCGCATGCCCCCATCCCCTACGAACGACGAGTTCATGGGGATGACCGAATACGTCGTGGAATCTTTGCACGACCTCCTCATGGGAGAATCGGGGTCGCCCTCGACTCTGACTCCAGCAGGGGGAGCCATCACCCTTTGTCGTGAATGTTTCATGGCAGGTACCCCCGTGGGATACATCGAAAGCATCCACGAGGGAGAGGCTACCCCAACGAACGACCTCGACGATGAGGTCGAGGGCGATGCAGGGGCCCCATCTCGCCTACGAGTAGAGCGGCTGAAGGCGGCACCAAGAGATCGAGGAAGCACGGCTCCAGCTCGAGCAGGAACGCGCGGAGCTCGAGCGAGAGATCGAGCGCCACGAAGACGGTGGGCGTGCGCGCACCGTGGCCCGCGACGTGAACCGAAGGATCATCGAGGACGATAAAGCCCTCCCACACTTCACCCGGGCAAGCCAGAACATCGTTGTTGCAGTGGCCTTGCTCCTGGGTCTTCTAGGACCCACGATGCCCGAGGATCGTCAGGCCCATCGCGAGTTTCGCACGCTACCCGAGCGTGCGGCGGCGCAGCAGGTTGAGAGCTCGTTGTCCCGATGACGCGAGCTCAACGCCAGCTAGTGCACGCGCCTCAGAGCGACCCGACAAGGACGTGTCGGTCCACCAGGCGCAGCAAGGTGGTAGGCCATGCACCGTGGTCCCGGTGCCTAAACGTCTCAGCCTCCACCATGATGCGCGCGACACCCTCGACACCCGCAGGCGTACCCACGGAGATGTGAGGGAGGAGGCTAGCCGCGGCTACCACCCTCGTCGTGGCGGACGCTATGACAGCGGCGAGGACCGAAGCCCGAGCCCCGACTTGCCGGGCCCTTAGGCCTTTGGCCGACACATCCTCAACGCCGTCTTCCCACCGCGGTACCGACCGCCGACCAACATCCCGAAATACTCCGGGGAAATGAACCTCGGACTGTGGCTCATTGATTATCGGCTTGCTTGCCAAGTTGGTGGTGCGGATAATGATGATTTCATTATCCGCAACCTTCCATTGTTCCTGGCCGATTCGGCGCGAACGTGGTTGGAACACTTTCCGCCCAACCAAATCTAAAGTTGGGCGGACCTAAAAGATATCTTTGTGAAAAACTTCCAGGGCACATACGCACGTTCTAGGAACCCATGTGATCTAAAAACCTGTCGACAGAAGTCTGGGGAAATCTTTGTGGGTACATCCGGTGCTTCTCCCGGTAGTGCAACGAGCTGCCCAACGTCGCCGATGCCGATGTCATAGGAGCTTTCCTGTCTAGGACCTCCTGTGAGTCCCTGGTTCACAAGCTGGGACGTAAGGGCCCGCAAACCACCAAGGAGCTCCTCGACATCGCCACCAACCACGCCTTAGGCGAGGAGGCGGTCGGGGCAATTTTCGATCGCCTCAAAGGCAAGGCAAAGTGGGACGAGGACGCCGGCTAAGACACCTCCAATCATCCCAACAAAAAGAAGAACAAGCAGCGGCGCGAGGGCTCGCTCGTGGCCACCGCCGACCGCAAAGAGGGTCAAAAGCCCGCTGAGGGTACCCCAGACCACTTCGAGAAGCTTTTCGAAGGGCCATGCCCGAACCATACTTTCCTAGTCAAGCACCTAAACAAGGACTGCATCCTCATGAAGTGGTTCTTATCCGGAGGCTCCAACAAGGGGGGGCATAGGAAGGAGCCCAAGTCGACCACGGACGACGCTGAGGGAAAGGACAATGGCTTTCCGACGCTGGATGGCTGCCTCATGACCTTTGGAGGGTCGACGGCCTATGACTCCAAGCACCGCTAGAAGCTTGCGCGCCGTGAGGTCTATATGGCCGAGCCAGCCGCCCCTACTTTCCTCCGATGGTCGGAGTCCGCCATAACCTTTGATCGGACCGACCACCCGAAAAGCGTCCCACATCCGGAAAGATATCCGCTCGTGGTCGACCCAATCTTCGGCACGAAGCAGCTCACCAAGGTGCTGATGGATGGAGGTAGCGGCCTCAACATCATGTACGCCGAAACGCTCGGCGCCATGGGCATCGACCGATC